TTGCTTCCCGTAATCTCTGTTAGGGTAGATGAGTCCTCAGCATTCTGAGCATAACAGTTCAATGTGTATATTTCTCGTCTTATTTCGGATTTTAACTAAATTCCTTATTAAAATTGTATCTGTGATTATCTCTGGAGGTGGCGCTATGGCGACACTATCAATTTGCCTAGAGATCTCTTCACTGAAATAAATTGCACATTCATGGCACATATTAGTAGAAATTCCTCCAAAGTAACCTCTGTACTTTAGTGTCGTAGTTTGCGTCCTTAGAAGATTCGCTCAGTTGCCTACTTCTATGTGTCTTTGATGGTGAAGAACGTGGACGCATTTACAGGTAATAGAGCTTTGCCATGCACGTTTGTATTTCGACCGGAATTAGCTGCAATCTCTAAACCAACCACTTTAACTGGGACCATATAACGACTCACGTAACCCCTACAGTTTAGGAAGGTTTTACTCGCAGGTCTGCAGTACTCAACATCCCCATTGGTCTTTCTGTAGACTCCTTCATTTGCTTTTTTGAAGTTCCTACTTTCCTTTCAACCTTCCTTGTTCATTCTTTCACTTGCTCTCGTCGCTTAGCATTAGCCCGATCTGCCTGCTTGACTGCCTTACTAATATTTCCGTTTGCCTTCCTCCTTCTAGAAAGCGCTTCATGAACTGGGGTCAGAATGGGATCAAAACAAGCGCGTAATCCCGCTGCGGAGACCGGGTTTTGGTGCCCGTGATTCGGTGCCTGAAAACTTTGGCTATTTTGCCGTCGAATTTGGTGATCGGGGCGAGGGCTTTGTGAAGGTCATTGAAGACTGGTCCTCCTTTCCGCCCTACTTTGGCCGTGTATGTATACCGGTTTTTTTAAGTTTCACCTCGCACCTTGTCGTGTTAATCCCGTTATCTTACGGTCTGTCCATGTGCAGAAGCCCCGGTTTGTGCTCTTCATGTTAAATATTCTGGTCACTTTCGTAGTTCACCAGCCTTTAGTCTTTTAATCTCTTTTAAGACCTGATGATTAGGTAGTTTCTCAAGGATCTGATCACATCTATTTGCGAAACAGGCTCCTTGCAGTGAGTCCAATTGGCATGAAGTTTATTTAGTAGTTCTGCTTTCCTTTGAACGCGAAGGAGGTCTTGCTTAAACTTCTAGTATCTGCAGAGGGCCTGTCCTTCGCTAGGATTCCTTGTTCTCTGCGAAAGCAATCGAGGCCTTTGGTGTACAGAAGGTTAAGTGCCCTCATCCGCAAATGCCTTCAAATCGTTGTGTCTGAGATATAGTGTGACAGTGGTCGTTCTACTAATCGGTGACACCGTAAATACGTTGACCTTACTGAGATTCTTTAATGAAACTGCGCAGTGTATCGACTCACTAGGTAGTCTCTGATGAATTCTAAGACTTTCGTCTTAGCCATATTTACTCGAG